CAACTAATCTGTATAAATGAGGTCTCTAAAGAAAGAGAATTTCACGGAGACCAAAAGAATTGCACCTCATTTTTAAAGGTATGAAGAATTGGTTAAAACACGAATCTACATATTCATGTCAAAAGGAACCCGCAACTGGCAGTTTTGTTGAAACCTATAGTTCTAAGAGTTAATAGGCCAAATGCCTCAAAGAGACATTTTCCACACTGTAATTCACAGGATGAGGTCTTAGACATTCTATTACGTTTTTGTTGATTCGGCAGAAGTTTGCTTTCTCGATACTTCATTGCATTGCAATTTCAAACATTTCAAATGGTAGGGGTATACTTGTACGATCCTATATTTTTGTGACTGTCAAGAAATGCAAAAAGCAAACAGTCAAAGAAGATAGTATAATTACTTCAAATATTGTTTTTTATAACAAGTGTTGTGAATTGTTCATCTTCTATCGATGATACTGAATAAACCTTTATTGAAAATTCTTTCTAAATGGAAGTTGTATTGGTTTTACTTTTTTTTGATTTTCTGTTTTAAACAAGAAACCTGTTTCGTTAACAATGTATGAAAACGGAAGGAAAAGAAAGAGGGTAGGGTTTACCATGCGAGCGTTCTCGCACGGGTATGCTACGTGGGTTTTATAAAATGAGAAGCGAGGGTCGGATGGGACTAGAAGTTCACTAATAGGCTACATTTGCCACTGAAAGTATATTCTCCTTGGTCTATTGCTTTACAATGGACAAATAGAAATAAAGTGAATGGACTACAATAAATGTAAGACGTAAATAGTTCTTATTTGCATTAAATTAACATATTTTTACATATTACTCATCCTTTAAAGTTAATAAATGATAAGAAAATCAATTGCTCTTGCAAACACCGCACCATCTTCACAATATGGCAAGCACTTCGTATTTCTTGAACAACCACTCCTTGTCGCCGTAGGAAACATGGCATCGGGAATTTCCTTCCGCTATCTGAAACATACAACATGCACATTGCTTATGTTCATACTTAGAAGCACGACAAAAGCCTCTTGCTATTGTGTATACATGCATTTGAAGCCAAACTTTAACAAGTAATCTTCTACGTCTAGCACACTTCTGGAGAGTAGAATTCCCTCTTATTGTAAAGCATCACTTAGATGTGTGTTTGTTTTTTTTTTGTTTTTTTTTGACGCAGGGGGAATGCCTCGGGTACATAAGCGAATGTAGAGGAGGGACCCGTCGGGTTGTGCATTTACAAGTAAGGGGCAATTACTTCTTCGAATCATTGTATAGAGAAAATTCTGTAATAAGACAAAAAAATACGTGTTCACGCTGTAACAGTGTGTCTGCAATATTTTTCGTGTAAGCGGTGAGGATAGGCCAAGGAAGAGGTAGGAAAGATCGCGCGCGGTCCGTGTGTTAGGGCCCCACCTGGTGTTAATCGGAGAAACAACGGAAAACTACCGATCAGTGCGGCACGCCGCAAGGATTCCCAAGAGACAAGCTAGCGTGGAGGTGCCCAGCGCGTGGCGGCCAGAGGGTCTGAGCGGGACTCACCCATCCCGGGGTGACGATGCCGTCCACAGCGGCGCGCACGGAGAAGGCCGGGCGTCCGCCGGAGGAGACGCCGACGGGGAAGGCGTGGGCGGGGATCGCCCCGTCGCTCGCCTCCACCCACTCGGCCCGGCCGCGCCGCAGATGCAGCACCTGTGCGTGCAACATACGACATCTGCAGCGCCTCCGCTCCCATCACCATCAGCATTCTGCTCCCCACTGAGAATTACGAAATAGAAAGAGGGCATTGGAGCACTGGGCAAGCATTAACGCACATGCTCCGAAATATATTAAACACAGAACCCAGTGCGTACCTGCCTAACAGTTTTAATAGATTGTATTTCGGGAGGAGCCGTACTAGAGCGTCCATTTTCTATGCCTGCTGCTCGTCTCGCATTCTTTTTTTTTTTTTTTTGTAAAAGGTTGCGATCATACAACACTCGGCCATCTGGCTTTTCAGCTCTTAGGAGAGAGTAATATCTAAGTAAAGTATCTTGTAAAGAGAACGACTGCAGAATTAGGATTTTATTGATGGGAGGATCAAAAGTGAAAAATATGACATTCCTTAAAATCCGCCCCCTAGTAAGAAGCGTATGTCTGCCAGATACCTCGTATTGGTCGTCGTACTTGCTGTGCTCGCGGCCGTTCCAGGCGACGAAGGCCACGTGGTACGCAGGGGCGACCTTGGCGGGCAGCAGCTGGCCCTCGTGCCACGCGCGCCCCACGTACAGCGGCCCGCCGTTGAGGTCGGTGCCTGCGGGCAGAGACAGCGGCATGCCCCCTTCGGACACTTCTGGATAGAACATTGCGTAAAACAAGGCGGCCCTAACGTTGTTTGTTTTGTACTTAATTGCCGCCCACTTTTGTATTCAAACTAGGCGACAATCATTCTAAATTGTCGCAAACCATTATGTCCTAGCTCAAGTTCGATCGAAAGTAGCTGATGTAGATGGCGATATCCGACGCCGACCGTCACGTCGGCTTGCGGGTTTTCCTCAACCAGGTATCTCCCACCAGCAGGGCAACGCCCCCTCGTAGGGTCTAGCTCTATGCTCCCGACATGTGTGATAGTGTAATGCAGGTAAATGTGTGTAGGTATAAGGGGTGAGGATAGACCAAGGAAGGAAAGATCACGCGCGGTCCCGTTGTTAAGGAACTGCTCCGGCATTCGCGTTGTGTTGATCCGAGAAACAACGGACAACTACCGACCAGAGCAGCTGCCCGCTACGATTCTCCTCCAGACAGCGACTGAATTCGACGTAGCTACGTGGCCAGCTAGTGTCGGGCCTGAGGGATTGCAGCGACGTCAGACGATGGCCTAATCCGGTTCGGAGGAAGTTGGGCAGAGCTGGAAAGGGGCGGAAGGTCGCTTCTGTTCACTCTGCGACTGCCCTGATCTGGCCATCCTGCCCCACCCCACACAAGCCGCTGCTCAAACATTTCTTACAAATCGACTACAGCGCACTAGCTGATTTACCCGAGTTCATAGTGGGACGTAGTTTACTAAAAATATGCCTACTCGGCAGTCGTCGAAAGTTGAAGGGCTGATTTGTGTGGTCGTGCGTGGTGTGCGGTTTTGTGTTGTCTATTGTGATGTGCTCTCGTTGCGTTTTGTTTCTAGCTACTGCTACAGCTGTGGTGATCGGATGCAAGAACGATCACAAAGGCAACCTCTACCCCAACGTCAGCTGACAAGCAAATAGAAATGTTTGTTATTCGGACAGTAAAATGAGTGTTCCCTATGACTAACACGGAAATAGTCCGAGGTGCCGGTCCCAAGGTTTTGTTGAATAGTATGTACTATGTGGTAAGAAATTATCCTTTCGTGATATTTTCTTTTGTTTTCTACGCACAAATGTTTCTAAAGGGTGAAATCACCCCACAAAAGCACTGGCTAAAGAAGTGGTTTCACTGTCTGGTTTTGAAAAAAATTAATTATTTTCGAACAAACGCAACTACAAAATGTATCTGATCATGACACACACTACATATTCACTTCTCCGATGCGGTTATATGCGTTTCAAGAAATTATTAGGTTTAAAGCTTTGATCGTTAAAGTTCGGAGAAGTGAATATTTGCGTAAATTTACAGGCAATAGAACTCATAACATTTGGAAGAATATAGAGTATGGTATGGGTTACTTCCAGTTTCAGAAGTTATAGTCGCGTGGAAAGGCTATGAAACAAGTGCAGTATTTTAAAAAAGCAAAAAAATCCAACGAGCGACAGCGGGGAAACATGCATTTTATTAAGTGATTTTCTGAGTAAAATTACTGCCGCAAACCTTATTTTCGATCTTGTGTGTTATGTGTATTGCACAACATTGCAGAAATTATCCGACTTATGCGAGGCTTCACAGTGTCAAACTATGGATGAGCAGTGCCAACGAAATAGTGAAAATGGCTATCTCTTTTCGATTGCTGAAAATGTGTGTCTGAGACATGACATGCCCTAAGAAGCAGTGGAAAATATTTAATTTTTGTGAATCTCTTGATAAAAATACAGGACACTTCAGCAACAATAGATTGGACCCTATCAATTTTCATGAATAATTAAAACAAACAATTGAAACAGTGTAGTTTGGTGTACGTTGTGAAAAAGTACTTCAACAAAAGTGATAGAGATGAAATATTTGCCAAAAAGTCTCTTTGAATTACGGGAAAAAATGAAATGAATGAGCTTGTACCAGATTTAAACTAAATTAAAGGCAATTAATAATTGGCTTCCGAGAATATTCAGTACGTTAGAAGGTAAATCCAGTCAGAGTACTTGAAGTGAAAATGCAATAGAATCGGTAGCAATTTTTCTAAAGCGAAATCTAAAGGGAATTCTCGCAAATTAATTTAATTGTAACCGCAGTGAGAACATCTTACAAATCTGAAACTTTGTGGTCTGCTATTTTTAAAATGGAATGCACGCCTCTTCCTACATTTGGTGGATTCCTGTTTCTGGTCTAGTCGTCATTCGGATAAAAATATGAAATATACAAAGTATCAGTGTAACCAAAAAATGTTGAACATGATAAAAACGCTATAAAAACTCTTAATGTTATTTTCGCGATTCATATGTATTTTGCGAAAATAAATAAAACCAATAAACATGAACATAATGAAAAATTAATTTACAAGTAATTTTATCATGATTAAAATTGAAATAAAATTTGCTGACAGGAACAATGAATTATATGTACATTATGCCCCCAATAATATAAAATTGATAATAATAATAATTATTATAATTATTATTATTATTATTGAAATTATTAATATATTACAATTAATTTTTAATTGTCATTTAATATTTTTTTTATTTCTTAATGGAATAGGCCTACATTTTGAAGTATTAAACGCTAAATAATATTAAATTAATTAATTTGCATTGCGTTCGGTCCCATAAAATATAATTTTTGAATTATAAATTTGCATGTTCGTTTCTGTGTGTGTATACATAGACACACAGACTAAGCTGCCCTAGTGACTACTTGGCTGGAGTGCCCTGCGCACGTGTTGTGGGGCGAGGGAGGGCGAGGCGCACCCACGAAGACGGGCTGGGCGGGCGGGGCGTCGTGGGCGCGCGCCCACCAGGGCAGCGGCGGGCCGGCGGCGCCCACGCGGCGCGGCGCGCCCAGGGCGGCAGTCGCCTCGTGCCAGCGCGCGCCCATCTCCTCGCGGCCCTCCCGCTCGTGCACGTGGAACTCGAGGGGCGGGATCTGCATGGCCCCGGTCAGGAAGGCCCTGGAACAAACAGCGAAAGAAAGGAAAACGACGAAGAAGAAGAAATAAATCAGTAATCGGTACGTTAACAACAAGACTGCTTTAAGCAGGTTTTGCTCGGCGAAGAGTTACAGCAATCGTCAGCACTAACGGCTTTCTACGCATGCGCACAAGATCGCAATGCCGGGCAAAACCTGTCATTGGGCGTCGGGTGCAATCACCGATTGGAAGTTGACTGGCAGAGCCAGTGGCCGGCGTCTCGAGAGGCAGGCGAGGGTCGGGCTCGCCACATCCCAGGAGAAAAGTCTTCTCGATGTGTGGAGCGCTGCTATGGAATTATTGCGCCACTGTAGGCCACGACTTTCTTTAAACTTTCTGTGAAGGGGCAAGAGCTTTTTCAGAATATGCAACAAGCATAATCATAATGACAAATACTAATTCATATCATATTGATGCAGAGGCGGAATTCACGGAGGGGGGGGCAAAGGGGGAGCAACTGCATCCCCTCAATGTTGGGACAATTTAAAATATATTCTTCAAGTTTATACTATAAAAGATTTCCTTCTTTCTGTATTTGAGAAAGAATTAATCCCTATACAGCATTTGAGTAGCAGTGCGTGTGTGCGGATTCGCCACTCAGAGTAAGCATCTTCCCTCGCACAAATCGAGACGGAAGAGATTTCATTCGGTGGGGAACTGATAATTTGTTTTTGGATCTAGCTACAAGATTCTAAGAAACTTACAAAAACGTGTGTTCGCGTGTTTTAGCGCTGCCGTCTTCGTGAGTAGGCCAGGAAATAAACCAACCACACGCAAGTAGATCTCAGCAGATCACGTTGAATGCGACACGTGCATCGCCGCGCGGGACAATTAATTTAATTTGCATCCGTATTGACATATTTTTAACAATACATTGGCAAAAACCTACGGACAGTTATTGCCTTGAAAGTTATTGAACTTGAACTTCCGGTAAATACGGCGAAAACGAAATTGTAAGGAATGCTACAGAAACACATTTACAAAACGATAATTACTGCAATTACAGAAGTGAAGGTGACCACAATTAGACTGATTTTGAGGAGTTTTAATCTCTTCAAATAATAGGGGACAAAAGTGTGGAAGTGGAAAGCAAATCTGGGGAAGAATAAAAGTAGTTGAAGATTCTGCGACAGAATTTTCAGAACTAATTGAGAATGATCTTATTATAGAGCTAGTGATGCAACGGAATGGCACAGACTTTCCCGCATACTTTTCTATTTCCTTTGGTCTCGGCCAGCTATGCGGACTTGCCACATACTCTTACCAGTTGCCACCTTACACTGTCCGAAATACATTTTTTTGTTATTTTCCGTTTTTAATTGTAGAAAGGAAATATTAATTTATGAATATTAAAGAACAGTAAAACCTCGCCCTAACTGGCAATTTTCTTTGAAAAATGTGGAGTCGTTTTTAAGAAAATAGCGTTTATGCGCTTCTATAAATTTGAATATCCAATCTTTTTTCACAGAAAAGTTTTGAGTTTTCGAAAAAATCCGAGTGACGTCATTTGAAGCACATTAACGGAAATGTGCATATTAACGGCTTGAGAGATCTTTCACAAAAATTACATTTGTGTAATTCATAAAACAACCAAAACAAAAACACTACCCCAAAATGAACTTTACGTCATATTAAAGAGTGCAATTAGCACTATCCGTTCAAAACGTTTGAAGCTCAATATTTCATTTGAATTTTTGTGTAAATTAATAAAAAAGGCGTGCAAAATGGGAGCTATACTAAATTCTATTCGCACCTCAATTGAATGAAATAGTCTGAAAGCATATTTTCAGTAATGTAAAAATACTGTTTAGAATTAACACGATCATGGTATATTATGATTAAATAACAAATGTAATCATTACAAATTGCCTTGTTTTAGTTTTTTAACATTGCGAATGCCGAAAAATAGGTGCTTCTCACGAAACAAATCGCTGCGATAAAAAACATATTTTTCAGCATTACCTGTAATTTGCGGAAGCATAGTCGGCAAACTGAAAACTGTAGGCCGGTGTCCATTTCTTTAACAAGCCTTCAAAAGAAGAAATTTGTCGAAACGTATGGATTGAAATATTCACCGAGTGACGGACTTTTCTGCGACACGCAAGTTCCAGCGGGAACATAGTGTGTTAAAGACAAAAAACTGCGAGTTTAAAATTTTTGAAAAAGTGACAATATACGAATGACGTTGAGTAAAACTTTAGTACATAATATTTTCCAATTATGGTTTTCCATTATAATGTAAGATACTCGTGTATTGAAACTAATTATGATATTTGTTTGATGCCAAGTGTACACTATGAAAAAAAAGCAAACCTTTAGTTTTCACTAAATATTTTCTATTATATTCAATGTTATTAGAGTAATTTCACTTTTTTGTTATTATAAAAGCGAATCTGTTGTTTTAATCATAATGTCAGTACCATTATCAAAAAAGTTGCATTGTTTTTATGGACAACAGAACAATCTTCATTACAAATGTGTAATAAAAATTCAAATAAATGCACAGAACTCTTGCAGCCTTTTTCAAAGAGTATGTGATTTAAAATGGTAAAAATTATTTTTATTTTTTTAACTACAGCTCAGGAATCACAAATATCTGAAAAAGTTCACTCTTTGTGTTTTAAGAAGAACTCTGTATTTTTTTCAAGCTTATTCCAGGGTTCTAAGACAGTAATATATATAATTGCGTTTGAATTTGCCGCGAGAAAATATCAAAAAACTGTTTTTTGATAGTATAAATTATTTTGTTATTTTTCATATTTTTTCAATCAGATAAAATAGTGTTAAGCTGACGAAAACATTAAAATAAATGAGTTTTTCTGGGGAAAATTTGCCGGCGCACTATTACATAAATTTCTCTTATAAAGAATTCGTAAGGCGAGAAAGTGGAGGGAAAAAAAAAAAAAAAAAGCTTCTGACTGGAGAGGGGTGTTGCGGGGGCGGGGGCTAAGCTGTCTTTCAAAACGATTTCGTTTGTCTTAGACTCGTAGGGTAACTACTCATTTGTCATTTGTTTTAGGGGAACTTTTTACCATCTCATCCGGGAGGACCCTTTGTCATCCCATTAAAAAATCCGAAATCCCGCCTCTGTATTGACGTGAATTTATACATTTTAGTATCACCCCATCTCACACTTTGCAATTGCAATTTCCATATGACCTTCCGGTGTTCAGAAGATTAATTAAAACACTGTGGACAAACAATACCACATTCAACTTCCCTTCAAAGTGTACCAATTTCCTCCCTTAATTCTATGGAGCCTTTTTCGAGAATTTTTTACACGATTCTTTATTTGAATATCTAATTTAAATAGATGTATTATTTCTGCAGATAGGTTTATACAACTTGGTGGTAGAACACTACAATCTACATATTACAATTAGGAATATTAATACAATGTAATTTTAAATTATATTTAACCAATAATAGTAATAATAGGATAACAATAACGTCAACAATAATAACAATAGCATTAACTCTAAATTTTATGGCTGTTATTGCAAAATTATATCCAAATAAAATTTTGTTGAGGTAATGGTAATATACATTGAACCAAAATGTTTGGTGATATACTGAAAACAAATCTGTTGAAATTTTAAAATAATTCTTAACTTAATATAAGAGTAAAATGTGTTTAATATTGCAGATATGTTTAAATCCAGTTTTAGTTAATATGTTAAAATCAGTCCGGGTTAACGTAAAAGAATGTTATGTAACATTTAAATTTTTGTAGGTAGAATAAAATAATATAATAAACAATGTCAGAAAATTAGTGTTTTGATTGCGTAAATGCCAGAAATAAGAAAATGTCACGAATCCCCACCTCCCAGTTAATACAGAAAGATGGAATCGGATGTTAAGACACATCTTGCGATTATGCAAAACTGCCAATGGTTTTATGTATAAATTTCAACGTTTATTCATCTATTTTTATTTCTTTTCAATAAATAAGCGTTGTCCATAAATTATGCAGTGACTTAACTTGCATGTATTGTATTGAAGTAATATTATGTAGGGAGCGGATTTGTATGATTTTGTTTATTTTGGTCCGTTGCTTCAGTGCATAGCTAAGGAAAATTTCTTGTCATTTGGTTGGAAGTGGATGCTATACAGATCAATATGTTGGTGCGTATTTGGCCGATTTTTCCTGTTGCTGCATATTCGTGTTATAAATAAGAACAAATTTTGCCAATTTCGTTAAATACTTATTTATAAAATGTTTAAACGTTCCATAAAATCTGTTTATTTGTGGGCGTTCATTGATTCGAAACAACTTGTCACAGTTAGCCTCCCTCCCTTAGATAAAATATGCTAGTTGGACAATTGTAGGATATTTCTTGATAACATATTTTTTTAAACCTGTCAGAAGAAATACACGACATACAATGTACTTAAAGTAAGGTGCATATTTACTTCTCTTATGTATTCTTAATTATTTCTCTCGCAAAGTAAGGTAGTTTATATTATGTTCGCACAAAATTTTTATTTTCATTACACATTGCTTTCATTACACACATTGCTTTTCCTGAATTTTATCAATGGTATATAGAGGAAATGAAATATATTGTTAATTTTAATTGTATATTAATGTGTACATTTCAGAATTTTCAGGCCGTAAATGCATATTTTTAAGAGCATATTTCAATATTTTTAGGGCATAAAAATCCTCTCCCAAGTTACATTTTACAAAAAAGTATGTTAACGGAAATATGAGTAGAAGCCCTTGTTTTATTATGATATTTAATGCAAGTATAGTAAAGGCGAGCTACAGACAGTGAATGTGTGGTGGTAGGAGGTCTTGTGGTGGATGACGGGGGGCGCACATCTGCTTGCAAACGTGTTCCTCTTGGACACGACACGTGTTTGTGTCAGCTCGGTCTACGTGGCATTCAAGTGTCTTTGAAAGCCGCTAGGTAGCGTTTGAAGCCTCAAACAACAACCCAAGCTTGACAGCCGCTCCAAAATGTGAATGTCAATCGATGTATTTGAGATTTAAAGATTATTTAAGATTTTAAGGTTATACACGTAACACGTCACGTAACTAAGTGGACACAAGTGTGAAGTAGGTGACTAAATGAATTATGAATTCTTTCTTCAGTTATTGAACATACCGTTAAAATTACGTATAATATATTATATAATAACATGTATTTGAGTTACTTGTTCGAAGGTTATAGCATGCTTGTAACATTACACAATAACATAAGAAATCTCGATTCACATTAACATACGAAATCACGAATGGCATGCATGACCTACAAAAATGTACTTACCTGAAACTACACACAATTAACCACTTTTCTCGGACGTGACCTGATTGTAAGTAATAATAATTCCTTGTATAGATGAACGTTCCTGTAGAACAAGCAACAACACTCGCAACGGATTGTGGCAGCTCCCGAGAGCAGCTGATTTGTCTGTAGGAATGCCGTGTCACCGATTGAAGCGCCTCTACTGGAAGCGAGAAGATTCTTCCTACAGATCGAAGTGAAGCGAACTGGCGCGCTTTTCAAACAGGCTTTCGTCCCCAAGAGCATTTGCAAATTCCGGATGTTAACGATTCTTTGTTAGTTTACTCATTCTAACGGTAGAAAAATTTCAGGACCAATTTTTATAAACATAATTCACAGTTTTTAGTGGAGTGTAAATGCTACGGGGTGGGGGCGGGGGGCATTGAGGGAATTAACATAAAGTATGGAAAATGTATAAAACATATATAAAAACTGAAAAGATAACGAATAAAATAATAAAGAATTGTATTTAATAATACATTTTAATAAATACGTTTCGTTACATTGATTTACTTAAAACATTTAGGTATTTAACAGGATAATTATGAACAATAATAATAATAATAATAATAATAATAATAATAATAATAATAATAATAATAATAATAATAAATCTGTTAGTTACTTATTTAAAATTTTAGCTTATTAATTTTTTTAACTAATTAATTCTTCAATTATACTCCCTGCAGGATTAAATAGTCAGTGCATTATTTCTACACTAGCCTAAGGCACAGCCAATAACAGTCACAACATATAGCACAGTAAGAAAAATTAGTACATATAAAAAAATATACAAATATTCAATGAATAATAACAAACACATGACAATACCTTAAGCCAAAACTTATAAAAAACAACAAAATATTGAAATTAGAGAACAGTTATAATGTGCAAAACAAATTACCTCTTTGCTAAAAACTTATATTGTTTTTAAATGATTCTTCAAATGTTGTAATGCTCTACATTCAGAACAATACCTAACAGAATTTAACTTTAAAATATTCATTTAGATTTAAAATTCAATTTTACATTTAAAATTCTGCATTTTGGATACTTTCATATCTCAAACTTGCAATACTCTTAATGTAACATTTATCTACATTTAGAAGGTTATTATGTATTCTAGCTAGCTATGTAATAGCTCTACCCAAGGGATTATTTTTACCTTTAGGTCGAGAGATAGAATATAATAAGTGTATAAGAGTTTACGCAATTCTAATTCTGAGAAACTAGAAATCTGATTTTCAGGATTGTACAGTTGAAGTAAAATTACTCAAAATATCGGATTATTTTCTACATTACCAAGTGCAATAATTTAGACGTCATAAAATTCGACAAGTACCTAATAAATAAATTGAGAAAAGAATTGGACCGCTACATCTCGATTAATAATCCACTCGATGGACTTTCCACCCGCGTTTGCTGGTTGAGCATTTTTTAAATTTTCGACGAGGTCTCATCGCTAACGTGTCACCGGACCAGCGGCTCATCCCTTAATGGATTAAGAAATGCGGCTCTTTATTAGGACTAGAGCCCGGAAAAGTGTCAAAATGTCTTTTTATTGTTACGGTCTTACGACTTTTTTGCAATAGGGATTCTTTTGTTGCATTCTTGAAGTTGTTTTATTAGACTTTTTATTTTGCCTCATTTTAACTTCTAATGCTTCCGTATTTTTCATTGTTCTCCCTTTTTTTCATTATTTTGTTTTTTTCTCGTGGCCACATTATCCATGATGCTGGAAACATGCAAGCCGGGACAACACTGCAGGATTTTGCCTTTCTCTGCAAACTGAGGCCCCAGGCCCAGGAAGTGCTCAAAATACAAATGAGAAATGAAAGTGATATTAATTAAGATTTTTTACTTCTTTCATTGACGCTGATAGGCTTTGTTCGTTCACGCGTAAATCCATCGTACCAGTCGCGGGATTTCGGATCTTTTATTGGGGGGTTAGTATTTTTATAAAATTTAAAATGAGTTTTATTTTAAAAAAATATTTAAATTACCTTTTTTTGTTTAAATACTATTAATTATAATAAAAATATACGAATAGCAGTATATTTGTATTAAACAATTTACTTTTTAATAATCTGTATAGCTCACAATATGTATTTGATACATTATATACATATATTATACTTATAAGTAAATATATTACACAATTGGACCTCAGAAAGATAAATGTGTTGCGTGGCCAGGAGTGGCCCGTTCGCGAATCACTAATTATATTGTAGCTGTTTGAATTTTTTTATACAATGTTTTGAAATTTGAGTACCATGTAGCGTATCTGTATAATATGTGGAAATTCTCTTTCATTTTGAGAGTTAATTCGAGTGTTATGACCCATTTTAGGCATGACACTATTTAATTTCTAATACGGTGTATTCATACGGGATGTTCACAGCAACGCTGAACATTATCCTGCGCGTTTTGTAATACTGAACTGAAGTTCACCAATTTATTAATGTATGTTATTAGCTCAGCTTCATAAAACTATTGTTCGATTAATCAATTTCTTCTTGAAATCATAATCACAATATTTTAAAATATAAATTTGAAGATCAGCGAAATGAAATGTTTAAATTTATATATTTAAAAAAAATTATCTCTCTCTTCCCTCTTTCTCCTGAAACCGCCTCTGCATCGTACGTTTGACTATGGACTCCGATCCCTATTTAGGACAGCTGTCGGCATACCTTCTGGAGCATCAATATAAGGAAGGAAAAGTCTGCAAAAATAATGTAATAAACAAAAGCATTCAGAAAATGTGATTTTATTGAATAAGCACAATTACAATTTTGCGAGATATCACATCTGTTATGAGTGAAGTTATTGTAAAATTTCACAAACATGTCTTATTAAGTTTTACATATCTTTGTTAATACGGCAGAATCGAAAGCTTTTTGGGTGCGTTTTCCGCAGGGAAGATTGTAGGTTTTGGAGGTTGTGATTTTAGTTGTCAGACTGGCTTACATCCATAGACGTGCATTATTGCTTTCCATAGTTCAAAAATTGCGTTATTGAAAGTCTATATTCTATTTTGTCGTAAGTTCAAATTAACACTGTCAAAATGTATGAAACAACTATGTGACATAATGCAAAAACTTAATAATTAATAACTTGACTTCGAAAGGGCTCAATTTTACTATTGGATATCTCTGAACATACGAGAAACATTTATAAAACAAAATCATTATTAACGTGACCTATAAATGTGCAGAGTATAGATGAAATATTCTGCGCATGTCACTAAAAAAAACACAATATATACCATCCACAAATATGAGAAATAGTGGACCGACAAAGTATGATGCCCATTTGAAAACCACGCCTCATTAACAACACATTTAGTGGACTTGGACGAGCTCTGTTCATCCTTGAAATACCAGATGATTACATGATAGACAGAACTTCATATTCACGAAAAAGTTTTTCTTTTCCTCTGAAAGAAATACTGCAACCGCCTTCACTCTTAAGAACCTGGAAAGAAAATTTCTTTAATACAGAACAAATTAATTTAATAATAAACTCATTATAATAAGAACATAATTTAAAATATTTTTGTATTTACACATGTACCTAATAGTTATACACCAACTAGCAAATTATTTTTTGATGATCGTCTTTTTTGGAATAATTTCATAGAGACATCTTACTGAAGTATATTTTCTATTCAAAAATAATAGATTTTGTCACAACTTTCTTGTATTTATTTTGCGTTTCAATTTTTAAAAAATTGAAATCGAAACAGATGTTGGCTTTCCCTGGAATTTTCCTGTTGGTTGCATAAATTCAGGGCTAACCAGCATATAAAATAATATACGGATTTAAAAATATTAGTAAAAAAGGGACTCAAGAGCATCTCTCAAAGGGACTCAAGACTTTCAATACTAATGTAATACATTCTTTATGTTATATTTGTAGGAAACGTTATTCCTGCAAATGTGAAAAACTCAAATATGTTTAATAAACAGATTTTAAATACATTTTATATTGACAGATATTTATGTTCTTGACGACTTATGATACAAGAAAAAAATATTTTTCAGTGTGGTTCATTATTTTATACGGCACTTACAGGAGGGCGAGAAATCTTCAATATAAAAAAAGAAAGTTTTTGCAAGTATTCTGAAGAGGAAATGTATTTTTTTAATATTAAGTACATTGTTATCAAAAGATCGTTAACAAAGTGATGCTTTGCAAACTTTTCTTTGCTTTGCTTTGCTTTAACAAATTGATTGAGTAGGCCTATTAGCATTGAGATAAAATTATTAGTAGGATTTTTTTTCTTCAAAATTTAATTACGACTTAAGACAGAGCTCTCCTTTAGTGAAGTACGATTTAGTTCCAACCGAGATTAAAGTGGTGATTTATTCCCACAGGAAAGGCAAAGGGACAGACAGAAGAAGAGATGGAAAGGCACAAAGTAATCAAAAAGTGCACAATTCTTGGATTTAAATTTCACTGAACTTTTCATTGTCTCCTGAAGGTACTTAGCAGGCCGTTTAACTATCGGCAGCAAATACTCTTTAGCCAACGGAGCGTTAGCGTGTGCTCATTCTTGAAACTTGAAAACAAAAAGTTTTAAAAAAGAATTAAGACAATTACTATAGATTTTCGAATATGCAACTATTCTTATTTGCCTATATTTTACTTCATCGAAGATAAATTTTTAAGAAAGTGTTCTATAAATATGACAGTGGTAAAAGGCAGTGCATCGATGGCCGCGGTATACTTGAAAACGGCAATCAGATTTCTTGACCGTTATTGCGATTGGGAAATACAAACGCGAGCTGTTATTAATGGCAGCATTTAAAATTGCCGCTAAAATTATGACGCAAACTGGTACATGAAGCTCTTTGGCTGAAGTTGCATAAACTGTGCAATAGCTCACCTATGTGTTTTCATCATGATCAATTGAGAGACGTAGTAGAACAAAGGGCTAACCCACATTTTTTGTGAAATTAAGTTATTGGCATTATACGAAACTTCTTTCAGTGTAATATGTTATTTAAATCTAGTATGAACGTATATGCAAGTATATGCAAGTGCACTGCGTTTAAAAGTTTAAAAATTGTATTGGGTTTTATGAGGGAGGTTCAGGTAAAACTCTCATTTCCTCGGTTACCAGGCGAATGCTGAGATGGTTCCACAAATTCCACGAACACCTACCACTACCGTACCTAACACCTACCATCATCCTGGTCCTTCCCACTCCTCTTCATCGCCCTAGAATAATGATGATGAGGATAATAATAATAATAATAATAATAATAATAATAATAATAATAATAATAATAATAATAATAATATATCGTATCTCCCCCTCATTGATATTCAAGGCTAACATCTTTCCTTAACCAACGGATGCAGCCGTGGATCTGTCCAGGACAGAATGCAAGTGGGCCTCGGAGAGAGAATTGTGTTGCGCGAGTGTCAATCGCAAAGAAAGCTGATAAGAGCGTCGGAAGAGGCTCACCCGGCCCGGGACGAGGGCGCCGCCGACGCGCGCACGGCCCACGAAGGCCGTCTCGCCGCGGGGGGAGGGGCAGGCGGGGAGGGCGTGGGCGGGCGCGTCCCCGTCGCTCGCGTCGAACCACTCGGCGCGCCCGCGCACCACCGCCAGCACCTGCAACGCCACGCACACAGGGCGTCACAGTTAAAAAAATTAAATTCTTTATTTCCAAAATTATTCGCATGCCCAGGAAAACATGAGTGTCGGTTTGAATCCCAACATCCAGCTACGACTGGACAGGGAGAAGGGAAAAGTGGTCAAGGAGGAAATGAAAATCAAGGTGAAAAGTAGGAGGGAAGGAAAGGAGGTGGAGAGAGGGAATGAAGGATGGTAGAAGGATAGGGAAACCACAAGTGGAATAACAAAGAAAAGGTATGAGAGGGCTAGAGGGGGAAGACGAGGGAAAGCAAGGAAATGGAAGGCAGGAGAGTTGGTGCGAGGAAGCGGAGGGCGGAGCGTGCGCACCTCGTATTGTCGCGAGGTCCACTCGCGGCCGCCGAAGCCGAAGAGCGCGCCGCCGCGCTCCTCGACGCGCGCGGGCAGCAGGCGGCGCGGAACTCGGCGCGCGCCACCAGGCAAGCGGCGGCCGTCGCGCGTGGCGCCGGCGCCACGGCGCAGCGCAGGGCGTGGCGCAGGTGCACGTGGCTGAGCCACGCGGCGTAGGGCGGGCCCACGGGCGCCAGCGCCGGCAGCGGGTCGGGCAGCGGCTCGCGCAGCCACAGGCGCACCTCCGCCACGCGCCGCGCGCCGTCGCCGGCCCCGGCCCGCATCACCCCGCCCCAACCCCGGCTGGCGCAGGCGGCGCACCGGCAGCTCGCCGAACAGCTCCTCCATCGCCTGGCACACACGCAAACGCGCTCGCCACGGACCCCTTCACACCAGCGTCATGGGAGCGCGCGGGTCGCAACGTTGGCGCATGTGCTAGGTTCGCGGCGACACTCGCACAGACATGTAGATAAGGTTTCGTGGGTCACACCGCTGCAGCCGAAAAGGCAGGCAGCAGGGAAAACAGGTTCAGAGGCGCGTCTTCTGCGAAGGCTGCCATTTAGAAACTATGTTTTGCTAGCGGTGACGTGGACGAGTTTCTGCGCTTGTGGTGGCGGGAATTGGCCACCGACCGTCACAGCGGAGTGACTACGCCTCTCGAGTGGATACCCTCCATTTAAACCAATGCTTTGCTAGCAAACGCGCCACTCGGAAGCGCTGCCGAGCGGCGCCGTGCGAAGGGGCCCTCAGGAAAACAGGAGGTTCTCCACGCCTGCGGAACAAGGAAACGCAACACCACACCGGGGTTGATGAAATGTATACGTTGCCTGCGATGATAAAACCAATTAAGCAAACACCTAAACGTGAATGGAGTCGAGTCGCATCCGCAGCCACTGGCGCAGGCGGTGCCACGGGCCGCTCGCCGAGCAGGTTCCTCTGCGCCCTGAGCACAACCAAGCCACAACGTCAATCGCTCTTGGAGAAGAGGAAGATTGATTTAGGATCCGGACTACTTATCCTTGCGGCACCCCCGGCTGTTCGTTTGATGAAATGCACACGCTGCAGGCCGCCGATGTCAAAACCAATTAAGAAAGAAATGAACGTGAATGCAATACCCTCCCGCCGATGCAGCCGCGCCCGCGCGTTACTGGCTGCGCAGAGGATGATAGAAGCGCGGCCTTGAGGACACGGGGAGGGGCGCTGCGGGCGGCGTGACAGGCAATCAGAATGGCTATGGTGACGGCGCTGAGGGACGGAGATGTGGGCATCTGAACCATAAGGATAGCTGTGAGTCGAAATAGCCTCAAGGAATAAGTAAGGAAGTGCAGGCGGAACCGTCCAAGTGTTGCGGAGATGAAGACGCGGGAGTTGTGACGGAATAGCGGTGGCGTGACGTGGACGAGGGTGGATCCCGCGAAGGGATGGTGAATCGGAGACGGAGATGAAGCAATGTTGGGACGGCTGAGATACGGTGTCTGTGCTGGCGGTTCGGGATTGAATGTGGAACGCGAATGATGTAGGAAGAGGGGTGGGTTAAGGGTAGCGGAGTGGTGCTCGAGGTGGTTGGCAAGGGCCGGCGGGGTGGGTTGGAGCGGGTAGGATGAATGTTACGGGAATAGGTCCGCGCAAATGCAGGGCTGTGAGATGGGTGTCTTCGGGCTAGATGTGGCAGGGATGGTCACCCACAGAGGAGGGTCGTTTGGGCGGGAAACTGAGTCGAGAATGAAGGTAGAGGGAGAGGAACCATCTAAAGCCGCAGCTCCCAAAACCAACCATATTCAAATAACGGGTAATTAATGGTTCTATTCCCGAAATTTATGATCTTAGTTTGGTAAGAATGGACTGAAACAATTCTTTCCTAACATACCCTTTAATGTATATACGGTTTTTGCTGAATTTGGTGTTGGGGCGTTGCTAAGCGTTACAGGCTGAGAGGTGGTGGGGAAGCAGGTGCTCGTGCTGGCGGATCGGGAATGAAGCATCTAATGTTAATGATGTGATGGGAGTGGGTTGGCAGTATGGATAGCGGGCGAAGGGGTGGCTGAGATGAAAGCAGCTGGTAAGGGACGATAGGAGGTACAGAGCGTTCAGGCGAGTGAACGATTTTAATGACATATTGTATAACAGATGAGCGTCGCCTAAGACCGCATCGCTCTCCGCTAAATATTCTTCCGCCAGTCAGCTGAGTTGCATTCACAGCTGGTCGCGGTTGGACTGAATTTTGTTGTTCAATGTAATTTTGATCGCGTGGATGTAGAAACAGTTTTCACCGAGAGATTCATTTAATTCCGTATCATTAATGTGAAAAATTATACTAAGTGATTCAAAACATTTCGAAATACTCTTGAGAACATGTTGTGATTGATTGAATTAAGTCATTAGATTCAAGAAATGAAATGGAATATACTGCATAGTTCCCACGTAGGCCTTGTAAAAAACTACGGGAATTCTGCCGGTACTTTTTCGATCTGCGTGTTCAGAAGATTCAAATTAATGTGTGCTGTATAATGTTTTGCAGTTATGATATCTGGTGGTTATAATTACGATTTCATTTTCACGTTGCTCATCTTATAATGACAGCCAGTGTATCAATTATTGATCAGTGACTTGCAGATATGGTTAGTTAATTGTGAATTCGTTGTAATAATACTTAAATAATATAATTTGTTCAGTTATTGACTAATGAAACAAGGCTTAAGTGACATGTATAATTAACATAAAACTACCATGAATTTGCTATTTTTTTTTCATAATTTTGGCTTCTCCCGATTGTACAATCTTGGAGAATTTTCACACTACATTCAAAGATTTCTTTGGGGAAAAGGGTAGCAAGTTAGTAGATATTTTGGAGTACTGTTGGCGGGCAGTATTCTCAGTTAATTTAATTGATCAGCAACTTCAGGTAAATTTCTTAAATATGGAAATCAAGTCAGTTCTTAAATATAAAAAATGGGTTGAAAACTGCTATAAATTATTGTACTCACCTGTCATTCAAAAGATATTAAATTAGTACATTCAAATTAATAAAAGAATAAATGGTTTTCATGATCACTGTGCAAGTTTAGCTTAGAAATGAAATTGAAATGTTTCATTCCTTCAATAACTTTATTACATAATATAAAAGTCAATTAAGAATTAGGTGAAAGGTAACATAAAAAAACATATAAGTGAAAAAATAATTCCCTTTATTGCATGATTATTTATTTGAAGGATACAACATTTCCACCGAATCCATTTGAATTTCAATAAATTTTATCCACTTAGATTATTTAAAAGTCCAACTATACAAAATCAAAATGAGTTTCCTAAGTCCTTTAGAAAATATTCACAACCTACTATTAACATCTCCAGCCTCAACCTACCACATTTGCCAGGGTCAGGACTAAAATTTTGAAATAAAAGTTATACATTTGAATTTTTACCAAGAGGATAAAACAATGAACAATGTTACGTATAGTATCTTCTTATATGACAACCTTATTGGTTATCAAAGCAGTCCCTAACAGCCGATTTTGATAATTTAATAATGTATTGCATTAAGATTAGACAATATGAGAATCTAACATACTGCTCAAAAGATAAAACTTTTCTTTTCACTGAATCTGCATTTCTAATTCTTTTTTATTAAAAGAACTAATTTTTCTATTACTTGAAGTTAATTTTTTGATGAGGTGTAAATGAATGTTATTAAAATATATTTTCAAGCCATTCTATTCACAATCAAACCTCTTCTTCAGCATACTTTCATTCACACTCATTTTATATGCTGATTCATATTACATAAAAAATGAACTTCATATAACTGAAAAACTTTTTCTTTTAATAATTAAAATTATACAATATTACTAAAAAAGAATTTACAAAGGAACTTAACATGTGCAGAACATAATGAAGTTCTTGTTATACTCTTCTGAGAAGTACGCCTGAAAAAACACCTACCCATACAGAGAGCAAAACAGCAAAACATTACTTCTGGAAGCAAGCAAATGAGCATTTTTATTTTCCAAAAAGGCAAATAATTTATTTCAGTAAGCCAAGATCAGCTTAAAAAAACAATAAAGTTTCACCTATTTCAACCTGGATGTAACCACTTACTTGCCCTCGATGGATAATATAAAACTTTTAACTTCTTGCACCTGAGAAGAACAAAGAGTTATGTCAAATCTGTTTTTTCAAACTTATGGAAATATACTGCATTAAAACATGTAATATACTGACCATATCTCTCTTAAGTAGAGACACAAGAGCCCAGGCCATGGGAACAGCATGCAGGGAACTTATCACAGAGTCCATGCCTGAATATTTACTAATGACAGAATCCCTGAAGCATCTGCTAATTCCACTTCCAATCTTCTTCTTATAATTTTTCTCTTATGTGTGTCATTATAATTTTCCAACTAAAGGAAGTACAGATGAATAAGTACTTTATATAACAAATTTCTGCCAAAAAACTCTAGACAATATTTGTGTTCTTTTCATGCATTTCATCTACAACAATCTGCACCCACATCACTGATATGATTTTTCAAATCATGAAAAATTGGCAATCACATTGTTCCAAATCAATGTAAAAATAAAACTGCCTTATTCTATGATAATGCAACAAAACTTAGGTTTAAGAGTACCTT